AAAGAAAGTCCCGCATACTCAGCGGGCCGGTACGTCGGATAGCTCGGGTGCCGTAACACTTCTAGCTGAGCTGCCTCTGCGCTCGGTGACCTGTAAAAGCGCTCGCGCGCCGTCGTCCATCCTTTGGTGGAGGGCACAGGGTTGTGAACGAGCTCAGCCGAACCAAACTCGGCGGAGCCTCGGAAGTGATCTGACTTGGTTAGTCGGAACCGGGTGGAAGCGAGCCACTCGTCTGTCCTGGAAGGGCCGGACCGCGAGGGGACCACCCTCTGCGCAGGCCATACAAACCGCCGACCTAACTCGGCGATTCGTTGTGGTTTGTGTAAGGAATCCACATCTGACGATATTTGTGTGTTCTACTACACCACACCGCTAAGATGATATTTGCCGTGACCTTTGGCACCCGTCAGTTGGATCACTTTCTGCCGCCCCCCACACAGAGGGAAGGAGGGCGTTCCATCACGCACGATCCGGCCGCATGATCAACGGCGGACACGAGCCCAGCGGCTTACATTCACTCTTTTAAGGATTTCCGTCTGGCGCTTTCTCGTATTGAAGAAGCTGCAGTGTAGTGGTACCCCCGTCCGGTGGCGGAGGTATTTTGGTGGGTCTACGCCGACTCGCTGTCGGAGCTGCTAGATCAGGCTCCACAGAACCTAATCCACGCTACTATCAATCTGTACACACACGTGTTCACGATTCTGTTTCAATCGATACGTGAGAAGCTTCCACCGGACTCCCCCAAGCTCAGGCAATCATGACGAGAGGCTCCCCTGAACACGAACGACTCGTCCGGAATGTGATTGACGAAGGACTGATAGCCGCATGGGCCCGTAATCAGCCTCCCCGTCAGTCACCACGAACTGACCGCAACTACAAGCCGAGTAACTCGCGACGCTCTACGAGGGACCGCCCTACAGCATCCGCACCCCCCCCCCCCGCGGAGGTCAAGGCATTGATTCCGATGGTGAATGACAGTCAGGCCTGTCTTCGCTTCCAAACAGTGAAGGGCTGCGACTTCTCAGGATGCAAGAACAAACACGAACTGGTCCGATTACCTACAGCTGTCTTCGACCACGTGACCAACAATGGTGAACTAAAAGCGGGACTCCCGAATCTTTCGAGCTGATGCCACGGAGGCGATGAGCGGACTATGAAACCAGGTCTCTTACAAACTCAATTTATACGTACTGCTTAATCGTCTTTATCATTACTTATTCAGCCAGTGCTGAGTGTGCCTGATGCACTACCACTCACCAATGCCGTTGAATTGAACACTACGACCACACATGTCGCGGAGACGGAGGGTGTGTACGTAGTACTGACATTTGTCGGAGGAGCTCGGGTCTATCAGCATCGCAGTGCCCACGCCAGCTGTGTGTGGTCTAAGTCTGGTGAGCTCCTGTGGTGGACAGCTAGTACCGTTCACCCTAGCGGCACCAACAATGAAATGGAAGCTCTGGGATTGCTAACAGGACTGCGGTGGCTACATCAACACCATCGCAACATACCAATTCGTATTTTAGGTGACTCGGCAGTCGTTGCTAACATGGCTCTAGCAGCGTACCGGGAATGTGCGAGCAATCTCCAGCCCATGATTCGAGACATCCGAGAGTTTCTATCACTACTTAGGTATGTTACGCTACAAGCCGTACCTCGTGCATACAATTCGGCTCCAGACGGCCTCTGCAACTGGATCATGGATATCATACCATCCCCTTCTGCCACAGCTCGGAAATCAGGGGATCACGAGGTGTGGCCACTATTACCAACACAGTCTTCGGACCCGATCCGAAATGGGTGTCGAGTAACAACACCCCTGTCTCAAGAGGACTATGATTTTGCCCAGTGGCGTAGACGTTGGAGCTTCGTCATGACTGACTTCACTCACACCTGGTGAGGAATCGATATCTAGGAATTGGGACAGACGTAATCCTACCTTCCAGCACGCAGCTAGCACCGGATTCGATCACAACCAGCGCTCGGCTTCTGACATCTCCGTTCGATACGGTACTGAGTCGCGAATGTATCGTCAACGGCACACCGCGCTGTGTTCCTCTGGGGACGTTTCGCACCTTCAGGCTACTCGCCACAAAGATTTACATTCCGTTTCCGGTGAATCGAATATTCTTGACGCCCGTCACAGCACGACTTACCATTCACGAAGTCGAAGTTCGACTCCTCACGGCCCTCGTGCCGGTACCCCACATAGGGATCGAAGGCGTCCTTCGCATTTACACAGGTCATACCCCAACAGACCGGTGTCCTAACAAGGCCCTGCGGCCGCATCTGTACAAACAGTATTTGGCGGATGACCTCACGCTACTCTGCGACATTGCAGAACATGGGGTAGCTCCACAATGGTGCAGCCCGTCAGAGCGGGTCGGAGTTCGGCCAGCGCTATCCTAGTGCGGAGAAGGGTTCGGCCGTCGTCACTCAAAACCTCGTAACCGAATATTTCCGCGGACGGTGTATTCTCGCGGACAGGTTAGCACTTGTAGATGAACCGGCGTTCCATTCCAGTGCTTTAGCATTTGTACCAAAGAAGGACATTCCTCTTTCAGACGACGGCCGCATCATTCATGACCTTTCGGCTCCACATGGGAACCTATCAATGATGCTACCAACACAGGTTGGACACCAGACGCTCGGTGGGATCCATATTCCAGCATCGCACGACGTGTCTTACGATCGCGCCGGCATTATCCTGACGCGATCATATAAGCGCTCGGAGCAGACATTGCAGAGGCATTCCTACACGTCCCAGTGCACGCTCGACACGCATCCGCATTTGGGGGCATTATCCCTCGATCACACGTAGGGATCGTCTCAGGAACTGTCGTCTTCGGGTGGACGGCCTCGCCCGGGTACTTTGCAGTTTTCGGGAAAGCACTTTCCTTCATCTAGACTGCAGTCTCAGCATGGGAGGGGCAAGTGCTTGATTAGTTAGAGATGCTTGGCTGATTGCACCCCCTGGTGGACGGACGTGTATGGCGTCTGGACACTTCCAAGTTGATGCGTTAATCATGGGCTCGACATTACCAGCGATCGGGCTCGTCATACGTCATAGGGCTACCAGAGCCCTTCTGGATATTTCAGTGGGTCGATGACATCGTCGTAATCGAAGTTGATATCGGAGACAGACTCCATTGCACAGAGTAACGACTGAGAGATTCGATCAAGCTCGTATTCGAAAAGAAGGTTGGCATGAAGGCAAATTCAAAACCTGGTCCTGCCAGATTCACGCCGTTGGGATCGAGTGGAATTTGGTGGATCTTACAGTATCTATTCCGCAGAGGAAAATCGATAAGATGAAACGCAAGGTTACAGAGACTTTGAGCATGCAGTATGTAACCGAGAAGAAGCTGAAGAGCCTCGTGGGCGTACTACGGCATATAACGACGCTCATTCCCATCGCAAAACCGTTCATGCAAAGGCTTATCAGTGTCCAGCACACAATCGACCGGACTGGTAGCTCAGAAATACCAATGAACGACAGACTCCGCGGAGACCTCCTGTGGTGGAAACAACTCGTGTTCGAAAACGAGTTCGCCGGAGTTCCAATGTCCAGCTTTCTGCAACATCTCGAAGCATGCCGGGTCGTAGTCTGGTGTAGACTGAGAAACACCAGCTTGCCCATCTTCCCATGAGTCGGATGACTGGTTCACTTTTCCCGGCCGCGAGTAGCGAACAGGCACCGCCGATTCGCATCGAGTGCGATGAATAGTCCTTAGGAGCCGCTCCTTGGGTTCGTGCCGCTTGTTTGGTTATCTTGGATACTTCAGACTTCTTGACTGTAGACGGGGCACTAACCGAGGTCAGGAATAGATCGAGACGTCTGCCACTACTTAGCCAACGCGTGCGTACGCGTAAACATGTTTCTGCTGCGATTACCGGACACAGATCGGATTCTCCAGATCGGTAGTGGCGAATGACGGTCCCTTGGCGAACTTGGTCGCCTTTGTGATGTCTGAACAGGATCTCTACTGAATGAGCTGGGTTCAAACTTGGTTCGATTGCAGCACCGTATTTGTGTCTCAGAATCGCGTCTGTTGCCCCGATACAGTGGGTGGTTCCTCCGGTCGATGTGTCCCTGACCACGCGGCCCCACAGCTCCGAGCTGCGGTCGAGAAAGAAGAAGGCTAGTACTATCGATCCCCACAGGAGGTCTGTCTCCCGTTATCCGTATTGGGTCGGTGCTCTTGCAGCTTACGGTGCATTTCATGCAGCATGGGAGTGGTGACTGGATGCTTTCTGTCGACGTGGCTGTTGGCTATCTTATATCCCTGAGCAATGAGCTCAAATTCCGAATACTTGTAATTGAGTCTCGCGTTTCTGACGCTCCTGTGAGCGAAGGTAATTGCGGCCATCTTGCTGTCGAATGTTTGGTATTTGTTTCCTCGTTTCTGCTTGTTGTGGCCCTCGAGGGCACAGGGTCCAGCGAACAGACCGAAGATTCGTGCCTGCCGCTCCTGAGGCAGATCGTCGATCCAGATATCGAGGATCACCATTTAAGGCCTGACGCCTCAAAGAACATTCAGAGCCACTGGACTCCAGTCCATCAACGGTACGACCTTGGCACAGAGCCTACTTCGTGTGGTGACATCATGGATTCCTGTGAATCCTATTCACTCTCGGTGGCAACACATCCGAGTATATGTACAAACCTCATGGGAAGCCAAGCTGCTGAAGAGTATGTACTGCTCAGACCCAGCAGGTCAAAGCTACCCTCGGGAGATAGCGCTAGCTCAAGCCTGCAGAAGACTGACATTCACGGTTACCAGAGTCCTCGGGCCGAGAACCGAAACTCGTCCATGCGACGTACACATCCCGACTTACCAGTGTGATCGTATGTGTGTAAGGAAACCCGAGCTCTTCGCAGAAGTTAACCCTGTAATTGAACTTCTTTGTGTAAGTGCGCAAAGAGGAATCGTTGATAACGGCTCTCTTAAGTAGCCCAGTTGCCGCTGTAATCCGATTGAGTCTGTCTGTCGCTGTGAATGACGTCCCAGCAGTCGGATTCTGAAGGTGTCGCGTGGAACATACGGTTCGGTAACCGGTCCAGCGGACCGGAGAAACCGGACCGGATGTTTTCGCTTCTGGACAAACCACGGCATTTGCAGACTTTCCGGAAGAAACACCAGGACAGAGCGCAGGGCTCCCATTGAACGAGGAGTTCGACACCAAGACCACTTCAGAGCGCAGAGCTCACGCCGGGCGCAGAGCTCAACCAAGCCAAAGGCGCAGAGCCCAAGAGAAGAAGGAGCCGATCTCCATCGAATTTTTCTTCTTCTCAATTAGATTTGCGTCTGACTGGGGATTTGTATTTTTCCTGAGATGGGTTGGGTTTGTCCCACAAAACCTTGGTTATCCCGACAGGTTTATAGACTGTTCCCCGGGGTCAAGCCTACTCGAAATACTAGGTAGAATAGCTAGATTAGTTGGGGTGCAATTGGCCAAGCATCTCTCACTAATCAAGCACTTGCCCCTCCCATGCCTACACTGCAGTCTAGATGAAGGAAATAGTACAGCAGAAGCAGTAGCGGTGCGGATGCCTAAGAGTGCTAGGACGCTGGAACACCATAGGGGTTCTGTGAGCATTCGAGAGTCAGTGCGTTCAAGGAATCGAGAAACCCCAGGCAGCAGCGTGAGCTCAGTGGAACAAACGACAGCAGAACTTGGAGAGAACCAGACTAAGACAGTGAATGCTATGTTGGCGAAGCGGTGCTGCGGAGCGAGATGGTGCAAGGGACGCTATCTACGTGTCGACGGTGAGACCCGCGATGGCCTCGGCACGATACTAATACGCTGCGCCTGCGGATCAACAACAGAACGAGGGCTGTGGACTCGACGGCAAAAGTCAAACTGGGGGAGGCGCGTACTCATCAGCACCACAGTCGGAAACCAATGATGGAAAGGTGGATAGTGTCAGAGAGATGTTGGTGAGCGCGGCCATGACAAGTGAATCTATGGCTGAGGCGGAGGACACGACGAGAGCTGCGAAGGATAGCTGAACGCGTATCGCGGAGAGGTAGACCAACGGCTAAGCGATGGTATTGCTCAAATACATCTTGCACGTCGACGAGCACGAAAACAAATGAAACGTGAGAAAATAAAGAAAGCACAAGCACGACGACGTAGTACCGAGCGCCAAGTTACAGAAGGACTGCAGCGTGCTACCGCCGATCGGTTGACCGAGCGACAACGAGCTGTAGAAGTCGTAGAGCTGAAATATCAACGAAGTGAGGGCCAGCCATCAAGCGGACTGAGAACTGCTAAAGTGAGTCTTGTACAACGGCAATAGCGTGTGGAGAATGACGAGGAGTTGACTAGCACGGACAATGAGGTGGCATACGTGGCAGCGAACGACGGATTACCCACAGCTACGATGGCAGTGGCGGAGTTCGAAAGTGTATCAAGTTGGACAGTTGTGCAAGATTCTCCATCGCAGGGACAAAATCGATGCAGTATAGCGACAAATTGGTAGATAAAGCGCCCGTTGACTATGTTGAGGGCATTCGCGGCTTCCTCTTCGATGTCATCGGAGTCTGGCGATTTGAGATGAGCTGCGCCTTTGACGAGAAGGTCACAGTAGACGCGTGTGTTGTGTCGGGTTCGGCTGAGGAATGCTTCCTCGGTGTCCACTTTTTGAAGGAGCACGGTGCAGTCATGGACTTCGAGAGCAGTGAGTTACGCTACCGAGACGAAGGCGATCTGTGATTATTCCGTCTATGACGACATCAGCGGAGATCGAGTGGCAATCGTACGAATGGCACGAAAGACGCAGATCGATAGTAGTTCCGGGACACCGGTGGAAGTGGCAGTGTCCGCACAAGACGGAGATCAAGGCATCTTCATCCCGACTGTGTACATAGGATCAGTGCTGCTAGCACCGACGGTAACGACGGTATGTAGTGGACGTGCATAGGCTCCCACTGTTAATACGAATACGAAACATACGAAGCTGCCGAATAAGATGTAGTTGGGCACGTGGATGCATATCGGTAGCGAGATGACAATATTAGCGATGGACGGTGCACTGGATGCGAAGAAGAAGAGTGTGTGGATCGACGAGATGGGTGACACGGAGACACTGTTGGATGATGTTAGCCACGTGAACTGTGGATCTGAGGAGCCAGCATCACGAGAGCTAATAATCAAGCTACTACGTGTCTACCGTCAATTAACGAAAAATACAGGTTAGTTCTGTAGCACGGAGTGCCAGACGGCGCGCTTCATCGGCGTCGTCCCTGCCACATTGGCCGTCTCCTTGTGATAGATGAACGCGCTCACTATGGCCAGGTCTATCAAACCTAAGAACAGGCTTTTATAGTACTTGGTAAGCTTACGTCGACGTTTGCAATGAGCCGGACCAGAGCTGGAGCTGATCATGCACGTCAGATCCGCCTATCCAGGGCTGATATTCAGCGACAGGCGCTGGACACGGCGCCGCGATGGTGCCTACCCGTTTGACCTTGCGCTTGATCGAGGCCTCCGCCATCACGGCGCCCGAACACCGGTAGTACACGGGTTGGCGGTCCCACCAGTGACATACCCCCACTGGGGACTGCGAGTGAGCGCGAGAACGTGAACATTCCACGCGCGATACTCGCCGGACGGTTCTGGCGCTTTTCCATGACCGCCTCGTCGTAGCCCAGGCGGTTTGTCCACCCTAGACCTGGTCACTCTCTTCGTTTTCGTAAAAAAAAATGATCAGATACTTTTGACAGCGGTGGATTTCCCTTGAACAAATTATTGAAAACTCCGAGCCAATTTCTTTTTAAACGTTTTGAATGTCCTTACTAACGCCATATCGGGCTTACGACGTTAATAAGCAAGGGGTATAACGTAATTTCGATACATTTATCTGGTAACCAAGGGGTTAAGATATCGGCCCAGTGCTTTAATTTACATAGCACACGGTTCCCAATAGCTCGTTAGTTGAGGAGTTAGTTACCTATTAAGCCAGACTGAGAAGTAGGGATCTCAAAGCGGGCAGTTTCTAAGGGATCCAGTGAGCGTCGGTCGTCCGATGTCTGTTATCCCTGTCCATTGACAGTTTATGTTGCCCGTAATTTAAATGAAATCGCTTTGCACTCTTGTCCCATACCCGGGAACGAAGGGGTCATTCCAGGAGCTCGGCCTCCCGTCGGGATGACTCGAGACCCTGTAATCACTCCTCGTCCAGCCGTCCCGTCAGGGTGGTTCCCGTTGAACCCAACAACGCACGTGCCCCTGACCGAGCCCGTTAGGCTGGTCCTATAAGGGGGCCCCAGAACGCCGGTGTCCTGGCGTCGTGGGACCAAAAGCACCTCGCGTCATCAAGCCCCTTCCCAGAAGCTCTCCGTATCCCACGAAGACCGACGACAAACGAAGTGAATCCTTCCTTTTTTCTAATATGTAATGTAGTGTATGTAAGGTCGAGAAGGTGTTAGACCTCTCTTCCGGTTGGCTCTCAGTCTTATATTTCCCTCCTTCTACTCAAGAGGAAGCCAAGCCAATCAACAAACTTTTATTTTCAACTCTCTAGTGTTCCTATCTACCGTTCCTGCAGCCACTGAACAAGACCGTACTACCTGAACAGCCGCGGACTACCCGACCCTTGAAAGAAGAGGAGGTATACGACATCTGGTGGAGAAGCAGGGTAGTCTGCTTGCTGGAGAAGGTCTTGTTCCAAGTGAAGTCTAGCGGAGAGCGTCAGAAGGAAGGACAAGATGTCGGCTACTAGCAACAGAGAAGATGAGAGCGCCACTGTCCGAGAAGACGAAGGCCAGACTGGAAGTCTGCCTTCGAGGATGTGACCCAGTCTGTCGACTACGCAAGGCCTCCAAAACGTGCAGAATATCGTAGATCAAGCGGCTAACCGACTTGGAGGGAACAGCTCTAGTGCTGGTGTCGAGCCACCCGCGGACGCTTTGGGCTCCGGTGTCCCTGCGACCTTCACTACGGAAGAATTGGGCCCCATGCTGACCCTGGACGGCGGCGGCGGCCGAGGTACGGTGCAAGGCTGGCTCAACTCCCTCAACTGGTTGAGATCCGTGGCTCCTCCTGAGATTGCCGCCGCTATGGAGAGAACCGGCGGGAACGGTCTCGTGGGGACTCCCCCTCCCACTACTCGAGTAAGGACTGCAATCCCGTCGTACCAAGGTTTCACAATCCGAGCCCCGAATACGTCATATGGGCAGGACTTCAACCCGTTCTTCTCTCTACCGACTGTCCCTGAAAACGGTGGACGTGTTTCCCCGGCAAGTATTCCTCCGAGGACCTCGAACGCTCCTCCTTGGGGTCTCCAGCCCTCTGGTAACTTGCGAGGTGGCGGGGGGAACGCTCCTGCAGCAACCGTTCCCGTTCCTCAGAGTGCTCCTTTCCAGACCTCATCGCCTACCGTTCGAATTCCTACACAAGGCCCGGGGTCTCGAACTTCGACTACCAGTGGAATCGCGAACGGAGTCGGCCCTACGGGAACAACCCGAGCTTCACAAGGAAACGGAGGAACTACGGCTTCTGCCGAAACCCATCAGGGTCTTGCGTATGGAGAATATGGAGGTAACTCCTACTACTCCTCGCCTACGTATGGTAATACGCCTTCGACTACTAGTGGCCAGTATGGTATGCCCACTAACATCCGGAACGCTATCCGCATGCTCCAACCCTTTTACTCGGAAGGAGCATCGGTAGAGAAAGCTCGATCCTTCTGGGAGGCCTTCGAGAACGCCACAATCGAGCTGGACGAGCCCCTGCGACTTAGCGCTTTACGTGAATGCTTGAAAGGCAAGGTCGGCGAAGATTGGTGGATGTACACGCGCATCAACAGCTTCGAGGCTCTGAGAACTCGGTTCTACAACCGGTTTATCAGTCAGACCCCGTTGCAACTGATTGAGAACCTTAAGAACACTAAGCGACCCAGGTGAATGTCCGCCGAAGTGTGGGGCGACATGATTTCAAGTCTCTGCGATGATGCTCAGTGCTACGATCCTCAGATACGTTACCAGTACTTCTTGTCTGGACTTCGGAACCGAGATGAACGCTCTCACCACGACAATGATTGACTCCATCCCTGCGGCTGTGGCCATGTTGCTCCTTAAGAATATGCATCGTCCGGTTGAAGACGACTGCGAGTTCGACAATGTGCCGTCCCCTAAAGCTTCCCAAGAGAACGCTGTCCTCGAACGCATGATGAACATGATGCAGCAGACGCAGAATCTACGCACTCAGCAGCAACAGCAACAACTTCAACAGCAACAGCAGTTGATGGAGCGTCCCCTGACGACCGCCTATGCTTCCCCGGCGATGAATGTAGCTGCTGCCTACTCTTCTCCTGATCCGAACCCCTCTCTGCACTATCAGCCTACCGAAACGCTCCCTATTACGCCTATCAGGGGCGTTCGTGTGGGTCCGGACTTGCGTACTCAAGATGGTCTTCTCGTGTGCGGTCGGTGTCACACTCTGGGGTGTAGTCGAGTTCACTGTCGCCGCGGCAAAGCCACCTGTCCTCACTGTAAGGAAGTGGGCCACATCGGTCCTGAATGTGAGCGTGACCCTCCTAGCGGATTTCGAAACACCCAGCCGAGGAACGGACGCAAGTGCTTCCTGTGTGACGAACCGGGTCACATGTTGGCGGAGTGCCCTCTAAAGACGTCGCTGAAGAGACTTGGCGGTCCGGCTGGGGCAACGGTGGGACCTGTCCTAGGACAAGCGCCCAACCAGCAATGGTGGGGGCGAGAGGGAGGGGAAGGGAGTGTCGCTCCTTCCTCTTGTCTATGGATCGACACAAATGGGAACACTTTGAACTCCGCGGAGGAGTCGACCAAGAGGTATGAAGTGTGTCCTGTTGGAGGTGGGATGAGTTCCGCCTTACCGGAAAGAAATGAAACGAACGTACGCAATGAACATATGACGAGAACTGAAGAAATACTGCCGTTTGTGCATGAAGGATATACGGCGCCCGTGTGGAACGGGGTATCGGTAGTCTCAAACACTAACGACTGTTGGAGGACGGAGAAAGAAGCGTTTG